GGAAATGAGCCATGAGAAAAAAATGAGATTGTGGAGGAACTAAAAAAAAAAAAAAACAGAAGAGAAGTATTTGACGGACATAAAAAGATCCAGCATACAGATAAATGGAGTACCCAAAGAAAGGAAAACAGAACAATGAAAGAGAACTAATATTTAAATTTTTAATACTATAAAACTAAAAAATCTGAATATACATATTGAAAAGGTCTATCAGGTACACAGGAAGACTGACGTGTAATAAGCAAGACTGAGACATATCCCAGCAAAATCATTAGTCTTTAAAGATGAAAATAATCTTGAGGGCCTCAGGGTAAAGTTACTCAGATCAAGTAACTTACAGAGGAAGATAATTAGATTGGCATCAGACTTTTCAAAAGCAACATACAACAATGATGCAGCATCTTTAAGAAATAAGATTTTATATCCAACAAAGCTGTCCCTTCAAGTAGCTAGGGTAAATAGTTTTAAGCATATAGAAACCAAGGCAACACTATATACATGAGCTCTTCTCAGGGAACCTTCCACAGAAGGTGTTTCATCCAACTAAGAGCTAAGAAGTTTTGGCAAATGGGTTGATATATTCAATTGCAAATCTAAGACTAAAAGATGCAGAATAGAGGAAATAACATATAAATGTTAAATGCTCTAAAACAGTAAAAATAATGCATCCCCCAAAATGGGAATAAGAGGGGAAAAGAAAGTAAAATAAGCCCTTTTGACTGTTACACAAGAAACAAATGAAGCCAACGGACAGCAATAAAAACTAAAACACTAGATAGTGAAGGATTAAATGGAAAAATGAGGCACTAAGGGCATTAAAAAGGGTATATAAGACTCCTGCTTCTGGCCATAATGAAGGACCTGGAATGGACTTACTCTTCCATCACAAATAACTAGAAAAATTATAAAGGAGAAAAAAAAGATGGGGGTTACCACTGCTCCTAGACATTGGACAGTAGGCAATGCAGGACTACAATTCTTTATGGAAAAGAAACAAATAAGATGAGCTCTACAATTGAACAGCTTCCTTCAGATAGCAGTTTCCAGACCGCAATGAAAGAAGGAAATCTTGAACGTAGCAAAATGGTCTCATTGAGTTAAAAGATAGAGATTAGAATTCTGTAAGGATAAAGCAGCTGAATTTGTGTGTACTGAAGAGGAGGAAGTTACACAGAAAAATAACTCGCTAAATGGGGGATTCTCAATGAGGGCCTTTAGAAAAAGGTCCTGGAAGATGATATGCCACATGAAGAAAGAGGCCACATGGGGAAGATTCGAAGCACCCCAGCCAGTAGCTAGCACTAAGACCCCAAATATGCGAAAGCCATCTTGGAGGTTTCCAGCCCTGTCCAGCTGCCATCTAAAAGTAGATACATTATTTGTAGCAGAAAGATCACCCAGTCAACTCAGAGTCTTGGAAAATAATAAATCACTGTTTGTTCGTTTGTTTGAAAAAAAGAAACAAACAGGTAGTAGTTATAAAATGCGTGGTAATTTTTGTGGCTTCTCAGGACTTATTTTTGATTTCCAATGACTTATGTGAAATTTTCACCCACAAAGAATCAGTGAAGTGAAGGTGACATGTATTAAAAACTAAAGGTGATGGGTGCTGTGGCAGCCTTGAGAAAAGTTCAAAGGAGTCTTTTCTGGAGCTGCAAGTAGGGCATAGAACATGGCAGTCAGCGACATCTCTCAGATGATGAGACCAGAGGATGTACAAGAGGTTTTTTCTTTTAAAAATTGACAATTGGTTTATCATACTGTGATCATTTGGTAAAAGAAGAATTAATAAAAATTATGAAAATATTCTAGTGAAACTAAATTAATGCTTGGACTCTTCTAGATTAGATGAATGCTTGTGTTGCTTTGATTCTTAATGACTTTGCATGCGTTATCTATGGTCCCAAAGGTCCAAATAAAAATAAGACAGAAAGAATACTCTAGAATAGATGACTTGGTATTTGCAACATCAGGAATGCAATAAGTCTCTGCATGTAAAATACAGAGCTGATCAGCAGTTCACTTTAGATAATCCCATCAGATAAGAAGTACTTTCTGGTAGGTATGTGCAAGTGACTCAGATGCTTCAACCAGCATCCATGATCTTTCTACAGCTTTGTGGCCCCACAAGGGGTGTTGTAAATGTGCAAAGATCTCCTACTAGAAGAACTGTTTTTGAGCCTATGTCTGTATTCAGTTCAACGACATTAATTTTATCAAAGAATTATATTTTACTGGATACTAGAACTGATATGCCAAATATTAACTTTACTTAATAATAATAGTATATGTATAGTATAATATATGTATCTGGAGAAACTATGGATATTTGTTCTCATTTTCCTCAAATGCCAAGCCTGACATCTCATAATTACTTATTGTTTGATCTTTCTAGATTATTGTAGTAGAACTGTCTGTCTATTAATAATTCGAAAAACTACAAAGTATACTTATATTGTCATACTCATTTGTTTTGTTTTGAGACAGGGTCTTGCTCTGTCACCCAGGCTGGAGTGCAATGTGCAATCATAGCTCACTGCAGCCTCAATTTTCCAGACTCAAGTGATCCTCCACCTCAGCCTCCTGAGTAGCTCGGACAACAGGCATAAGTCACCATGCTCAGCTAATTTTTTTTAAATTACGTTTAGTGGAGACAAGGTCTTGCTATGTTGCCCAGACTGGTCTCAAACTCCTGAGCTCAAGTGATTCTCCCACCTCAGCCTTCCAAAGTGCTGAGATTTAAGGTATGAGCCACTGTGCCCAGCCTGTCATACTAGTTTGAAGATGAAGAAACTCTCCTAAAGACATTATAAACAGACATTCCAGAAGTGATACTGGTAGACTTAAAAATTTATAGTTTCCAGTTTTCTTACTGACTGAAAAGTTACTTAGTTAATATAAATACCTAGCATAAAGTTTATGTATAATGGCATCATTTTTCCTCATTTCCATTTATCTTTAAAGATTTGCCAATCATCCTCCACTAGTCTCCAATGTGAACACTCTAATTCTTACCCCTTAAACACACATCATGCTCTTCTCCTTTCTTACACTCGATCATTACTTTTCAACACACTGCAAGCCCTACATATCCGGAGAGAGAACACCCATATGCCATCTCAGTTAAGTACCATTTTTACTACCGAACTCTTTTATGTGTCATTCCCTAATGAGTATCCCTTCTCTGAATGTCTACTACACTTATACTACAAATCAAAACCTTATATTTAAACATTCATTGCTTGGAATAGGTACCCCTAGTTATTTCAGACAACTATATTTTGAGTATCCAAGCGCTCTTTCCATTCCTTGACAATAGATGAAATTTCTTCTCATTGACTTGTATTTCTTATAGCACGGACCCAATTTCAGATGTCCCACAAATTCCCTGAAATTTAGGCAAAGTTTTATGCAAAATGTTTTTTGGGGAACTGATATGTAGCTTTCATCATATTCTCTAATTATGATATGATACAAAATGACCAAGAACCTCTGCTAAATGATGAGTGCCCATTATTCACATAAAAAATATTGTTAACTTTAAAACTGTCCTTTGTCACACAACAAAACCTACCTTAAAACTAACAAAACGTTTTAGTCATCTGAAAAAAAAGTGACAAGAAAGAAAACTCCTCTACTTACTGTGTGTAGAAATTCAAACCTTGGAAACTATTCAGCTTTTATTTATAGCAGATACATTTTTTATTTCAGTATAATAAAGAAGCATTTCTTGGGTTTTCTGAAGCATGAAACCATGAGCCTTTTCTGTTTTTTAGTACTATAACAGAATTAGTTTCTCAAGCCTTATGTAAACATAAATATGAATGCATTCTTAAGAAACTGATAAGAAACATTAATGGATAGAAAAAGTATTTAAAGGCAAGAATAAAGCAATGTTACCTCCATCACCTGATTATAAAGTACTGAAAAAAACCACGATACATATGTACCAACTTTAATTCTCTCTGGCTCATGAGATTACATTTCTATTTGCTAGAAAATGTAAGTCCTGCAGAAGTTTTCATATCAAACATACCAAAAAAATTTTTTTAACTTTTATATTGAGTTCAGGGGTATATGTGCAGGATTTTTACACAGGTATTCGTGTGTCATGGGGGTTTGTTGTGCATATTATTTAATTACTCAGGTATTAAACTTAGTACGCATTAGTTATTTTCTCTGATCCTCTCCCTCCTCCCATCCTCTAGCCTCTGGTGGACACCACTGTGCGTTGTTCCCTTCTAAAAAAATGACAAATTTTTTTTAAAAAGTGAATTTTATGAACAATTTGCTGTTATTACATGCTCACATCACTCCAGAGGTTTAAAGATTTTATGCTATATCAGCATGATTAGTTTGCTGGCCATCTTAGAGAAGAATCTTGAGGTCTCTCAAAAATAAACTTGCTTTTCTCATTTTTATGGTTGTCTTTTCCTTCTGAAACAAATTTTGGTATGCTCACACAATTTGTGAACTGACAGAACATTTTATCTCCTTCACTAGTAAACAAACTTTTTATGTCAAACAAAAAAAAAAAAGATTAAATCACCTACTGTTTCTAAGATGCTTTATTTGCCTGTTCTTTAAAGTTAGTATAAAATAATCTGTTTCCAAGCAGTGTGGCATTGCTTTCTTTCCCAAAGAGGAAAGGATGACTAATATTTGCCTTTTAACTATTTTATCCTGCACTTGCTCTGAGGCTTTCATGAAATTCTTCAGTATTAAAGTGGGCAGTCTCTTCAAAGAAAGCACTCCACTGCCAACAACATGCAATGCTTTTTAAATTGGCTAATAAAAAACAGTTTTATATTTTATTTTGGTATCTAGTGGGAAAACATTAATAACTTAAAAATTTAGAAAGAATAGCTTGCAATCACAGGAAACATATCTTTATGTTTATTATGTTGAACAGGCACCACTTTTTATAGGGTATCAGAGTTATAAATAAAAAAGTATCATCAACCAGGTAGATTAATCACTTTTCAAAAATACAATCTTACCTGATTAAGAGAGGTGGTATCTGTAAGCACAGCATCAGGAGGTCTATTAGGTACAGCTACAGCTACCTGAAATCAAGACATTATATATTAAATCTTAAATACAAATTATCATTGTTCTCTTTAACCAAACATGGTTTGTGTAACATTTGATACACAACCATGTTTCAATATAATAAACTCTGCAAATTGAATAAAAGGGTTTTTTAAAAACAAAAATCATGTTCAGGAAATAATGATTTAAAATTTCATAACACCTATCTTCATCTACACTATGATTTACCTGAAATGACCTTTTTAAATGTAAAGAATTATGTAATCAGATTCATTCTCCAGGCCACAATGAAGAAAAGGTTAAGGAAAGTTTTTCCCTATGTAAAAGACGATAACAACTACAAGAACTAGACATATAATTCACATCTAAATTGATTCAGTCTTTAAAACTGGTCTTTTAAGACCTTGCATATTTTAATTTGCCATCTTAACAAAATAATACATTTTAAAGTTAGCTACCAAAAATATTTGAATTATTATGACACCTTAATGCCAACACTTAAAACTACTTTTTGATGAAAATTTTGCAACATTTACAAAGTAAGTATCTGAGTGTCAGTTTATGGTTGATTTAAACCAAAGTAAACATAAAAAATTAAAGTGCTAATATCTGCTTTTCAATAATTTATAATAGAAGTCAAATTATATTACACATTTATTCTCAATTAGGTAAATTTTCCACAATAAAATAAACTTTTATTCTTTGAAAGAGTTAAGAAGAAATTAGTGATTTTTCATTACTAAAATGCCACACTTAGATATATTCCCAAACTTATCCTCACAATCCCCCCTCCACCAAAAAAAAAAAAAAAAAACATTAAAAAGACCATGGTGGAAGTTGCTGCTTCTAAAAACAAACAAAAGGCAGGCTGTTGTTTTTCAAAAATCACTGCATGAATTACACTCCTTTGTTTCAGCTGCATCCAGTGTATTTTGCAGGATTTATTTATATATTTATTTTCAATGCATTCTACTAGGTTTTGGAGGACCTGACTTCAATCTACAGGTCCTGGGCAGTCTTTTAAAATTTTTGAGTTCCAAGAATGCTCTGAATCTGTCTTGACTCTGAGGGCTGCCTGATTGAAAATAAATAAAAATTTTGAGTTCCCTTTATTCCACAAAATCCATTGTAAGCCATATATACAAAGGGCATTTAAGATGGACAGTGTTGCCATGGTAGTTTAACTGTTAACAGACTGGCAACTCATTATGGCATAGGGCTTCACCATGTCTTGGCATTATCTCTGATTTTTTTCTCAAATCAACAAGTGATACTTGTGAAAGTGCTTAGAGAATGATATCTAGTTTAGATTATTTCTGGTCTACAGTAATTCATTACTGCCCAATATTAAAAAGAACATACAGGAGGGCTGAGGTAGGCGGGAAACCTGAGGTCAGGAGTTCAAGACCTGCCTGGTCTGAAACCCTGTCTCTATGAAAAATATAAAAATTAGTAGGGCAAGGTGGCAGATGCCTGTAATCCCAGCTATATGGGAAGCTGAGGGAGGAGGATCACATGAAGCCAGGAGGCAGAGGTTGCAGTGAGCCAAGATCGCACCACTGCACTCCAGGCTGGGCAATACAGCAAGACTCCATCTCAAAAATAGAAAAAGAAAAGGAAAAAAAGAAAAAGAACATATAGTTAAAAAGGAAAAACAAATAGCATGTTATGTTTCCTTCATCTAATACAGCCTGACTTGTATTTTGCCCTTTCTAAAATAACATCTTTACTAAAAGCTTGGAAGTTTCCAAAGTGAATATAACATTTCCAAGCATTTCATTCAGACAATCCCACTGCATATGCTTGTGTAGTGTGCAACTTGCCCTGGGGTTCTTAATAACTCATAATTTGCTACCTGTGAACAGATACAACCTCACATAAATAATATTTAATACCTGTAAAGGTAATTTTTTCACATCCAAGCAATAAGTGAGCACAATTTTTTTTTAATGTGGGCCCAGGACATTGTTTTCGTATAGTATTGATCAATATTAATTTTTCAAACAGCTTTACTGACAAAATACACATATAATTCACCCATTTAAAATGTAAAATCCAAAGGTTTTCATTATATTCGCCGAGTTGCCCAATCATCACCAGAATCAACTTCAGCACATTTTCTGTCCCCAGTAGAAAATCCTATACCCATCAGCAGCCACTCTCCATTGTCTTGTTTCACCTCCAGCCCTTGGCAACCTCTAATATACTTTCTGACTTTGCAGATTTGCCTATCCTGGGTATTTCATATAAATCCAGTATGTGGTCACTCGCTATCAACCTGAAGACCTTTCCTTAGTATTTGTTGTAAGGCTGTTCTCTCAGATTTTGTCGTCCAGGAATGTCTTGATTTTGCCTTCATTTTAGAAAGATCATTTTGGTGGTTATAAAATTCTTAGTTGATCATTATGGTGTTTGTTTTTTTCTTTCAGCACTCTGAATACATTAGCCCACTATCTTTTGACTTCCTTCTTTTGTGATGAGAAGTCAGAGGTCAGCTCTTATTGGGGTTCCTTTGTAAGTAATGAGTCATTTTTTCTCTCATTATTTTCAACATTTTCTTTTTGTTTCTGGCTTTCAACATTTTTACTACGATGCAGAGAACATAGATCTCTTTAGATAAATAATCAATTTGGAGTTGACTGAGCCTCTTGGATGTATACATTAATGTTTTTCATCAAAAGCCATTATTTCCTCAAATTTTTTTATGCTCCTTTCTCTCTTTCTGATACACCTATTACATGAATGTTAGTGCGCTTAATGATATTCCACTTTTCTCTAAGGCTCTTCATTCTTTTTCCTTTTCTTCACGGAGGTTCTCTCCGTTCTTTAGTTTGTATAATCACTATCAATCTATCTTAAGCTTTTTTGATTCTTTCTTCTGTCAGCTCAAAACTACATTTGGCCCTTCCAGAGTAAATTTTTCATTACAGTTATTATACTTTCAGCTCCAAAATTTCTATTTGGGTCTCTGTAATAATTTATGTCTATTTAGTCATATTTAAGCATGGCTTCCTTTAGTTCTTTGAACATATTTATAATAGCTGCTTTGAAGTCTTTGTCTACTAAATCCTCTCAAAGGCAGTTTGTGTTGCCTGTTTTTTCTGTCTATGCGTCACACTCTCCTGTTTCTTCCATGTCTTGTAATTTCTTGTTGCTAACTGGGCATTTCAGATAATAGATTATAACAACTCTAGACACTGATCCCAAACCCCTTCCAAGGCTTGCTGTTACTGTTTATTTGTTTAGTGACTTGGTTAGACACTTATATGTGAATCTATTCTCCCAACAGCATACAGCTTCTGATACTGTTCCTCAGAGGGCATGCCTTGAATATGAGCAGTCACCCTAGGATGACACTGGTTCTCTTTTACTGTCTCTCCTTGATCTCTCTGTTAAACTGTCTGCTTCTTTTGGTATCATACCTAGTTGTTAGGTTCCGCTAATTGCCAGATGACTACTCCATTATTTTCAACAGTGTCCTGGGGTATAAATTGTTCAACAATCTGAGCCCATTAAATTCAAGCCTCTTTGCAAGGGTAGTCAGTGAGGTCAGTCTTTGAGGTTTGTTACAATCCCAGGAGGGATTTTCTTAGCTATCTCTTTTTCTGGTTCTTTCTAGTAAATGTCTAGCTGGGCTACACTTTAGCTTCCTTCAGCCTTCTCTTAATTGCTTATCACTACAGTCACACCTTGCTTTTGACAGTATGCTTATGCTTGAACTTGCAAATACTCAAGTTACAAGAAGTGTCTGTTTCCTTAAGAAGAGCATCAGAGCTTTGTGTTATTACAGGCTGCCTCTCTCTCTAGGCAGAACTTCTGCCGAAATAGTGACATACTTCCCTCCAAGTGATACACTTTCTTTACAAGAAGGAAGCGGGGCAGGGGTGGTGGCTTCTGTTCTTCTCAGCTTGTTCTCCAACCATGGAACCTCCATGCTTTGGGAAAGATAGGGCAAAGGTAATCAGGGACCCAGTATTCTCAGCCTGCCACAGGTAGGGTAAAGTTTCCACTCTATACTTAGGGCTGAATGGAGAAAAGAGGCTCACGAGTCAGTAAATTTTACCTCAAATAGAGCATCTGCAATTCAGAGCTAGTGGAAGGGAAAAAAAAAGTTAATAGCCTTCCCTCCTGGAAAGGCAGCATGGCAGAGGGCTCCTACATTATTGGCTGCAAACACTTGGGGTACAGTTTCTGTCATGCTCAGTCAGGAGAGGAAGAACGAAGGGAGAGATTATGGCTCAAATTCCACAGAATCTCACTGTTCTTGCCAAAATGTAATAGATTTTCTTGAGTAAATGTTTCTTTGTTTGCTCTATATCCTTAGGACAATTTCCAGAGGCATTAAATAGCTGTGTTTTAAAATAATTTTTTACATGCCATGGTTGTTTCACTAACAAGAAAGTCCAAGGAGCTTCTTATGCCACCATTCCAAAAGTCTTCTCCCAATATTGCTTTAAATAATACTTTATTTACTACAGAAGAATATTCACTAAAGAATAATCTTATTATCACAAATAACTTAAAGCCAGATTAATGTGAAATCCAAATTATTAAACATTTTTAGGAAAAATATGTTTTTATAATTTGAGAACAAAAGAATAATCAGAATTGTCTTATATAAGAGAAATACTTAGGTCATTTAATAAATGAAGATTTTAATCTATACAAGAATCACTTGTGTTAGATTTTTCTAAAAATTTTTGGGTCTGCAAAGATTGTACAAGAAAATAACAAACATCCCCATTAGTATCTCAGATTCATTATATTTAACTCAATAAGGCTTTTCTATATATAAAATACGTTGTATATAGAATAAATATAAACTGCACTTCAAATTCAAGGAACACACTCTAATTCAAAGTATTGATTACCAAGTCTCTACTCTATAAGATTATATATACGGTAACATGGCAAGATCAACAAGCAGTTGGCCTTTAAACAATGTGGGGCTTGGAAGCACTGACTCACCATGCAGTCAAAAATTCATGTATAACTTTTGACTCCCTAAAATCTTAATACCTAATAGCCTACTATTAACCAAAACTCTTACCAATAACATAAATCACCAACTGAATTACAATTTGCGTTATATGTATTATATACTGTATTATTACAGTAAAATAAGCTAGGAACCATTTTCTACATTGGCTGCCGCCTCGTCTGAAATCAGCACATTCCATGGAGGAAAGAGTCCTGCTTTGTTGCATCTTGTATCCTAAAGATTAATGTTGGTAAATGAGTAACTCTAGCATTTGTACAAGGCTCCCTAAAGATTCCTGTAGCACTCAACCAAGCCTAGGGACATAAATGAATCTGGAGATTCCTGGAGTCTTGTTTTGAAAAAGACTTGAAATACACATAAGAAGAAAGGCATAACGATAAATGTTCACTTGTATCTACAACAAAAATTAATATTAATAATTAATAAGCTAGAAAAAAGAAAATGTCATGAAAATCATAAAAAAGAAAGAATATTTCCTATTCAGTAAGTAGACATAGATGATCATAAAGGTCTTCATCCTCATCATCTTCACATCAGGTAGGCTGAGGGGGAGGAGGAAGAGGAGGGGTTGGTCTTGCTGTCCCAGGGGCGGCAGATGTGTAAGAAAATGTGCCTAAGTGGACTCTTGCAGTTCAAACTCAGGCTGTTCAAGGCTCAACCACATAGGTAAGAATACTTTACTACATATATATTTTGCTTATAAAGCCATGGCTTACCTTGACTTTGTCTGATGTCCGTTTTCCACCAAAGCCTCCAGAGCCAACAAGAAAGAGAGAGAACTGATTGTAGCATGTAAGTTCCTTCTCAGAGTAAGAAAAGACTGAAAAGTAAACAAAAGAAAAAAATAAAAGAAGTTACTACCAAAAGACATAACTAGTTAACCTAGAAATGTTCAAGATATGTTCAAGACGTAACTAGTTAACCAAGATATGTTCAATTTCCTTTCAAGGTTTCAAAAACAAAATCCAATTACTGAAAGAGTTCTACCATGTAAAGGTGTCCAAGTTTGGATTACAAAGCATTCATTTTAATACATTCACTACCTGACTCTGAAAGATAGAGAGAAGAGGAGCTTCAAAATCCTTTCTTTACTGTGAAATAGCAGTTTCTTTCACTTTTTCTTAAGCCTCTCAAACTGCTATTCAGATCCCAATTCTTTCCACCTTAAACATTTCAAACAATCCCACTAGAAAGAACAAGCAACCACTCTCAAACTTTCAAACATTCTGCCAAAGCAGTCAAGAAAAGCATGGAGAGAAAATAAGTGGGAATGAAGGTATAAGTCACTTGATGGCAGGATCATGACTGTTCTGCTCACTCTTATTCTCCCATCAACTAGATTAGTTCTCGTACAAAAAAAAAGGCACCTAATAAATGTTTATTAAATTAATTAATAAATCAGTGAATATATGATATGAGTGAGCAAGTTAGCAAGTAATGAGTAAGACAGCTGTCCCTCTATTTACTAACTTAGTAAGGACAGATTAAGTATTATCTGTTTGATGTCTAGCTCTGCAAAACTAGAAATATGATTTTCAATTGCATACTAAAGAAAAATCTAATTATAACCAAAAATTAGAAAAGGCGTGTCAATGTATTTAAAATAAGATTCTTATTTTTATCACACAGGCAATTGAATACCCAATTTCACCTATAATTTGTCTACAAATTCAATATACTATTACCAAGTTATATTTCAATAAATGGAGCAGATCAAGAGAGAATAGTAAAGACTAAACAAGGTTTCTACAGGACTTTTGGTTTTTGGTATATTACATTTGGTACAATGGTGAGAAGACTGAAAGAGAACTGACAGAACAGTAGCCAAGTGTTGGCCAACATCTGGAATGACAAGTATGAAAACCTAAAAAGAGAAGAGAGAAGAGGAAAAGCAGGAGAAGGAAGGAAGAGAACATATGTAATATTTAAGAGTATCAGAAATGTTCTCAATAGATTATTAAGCAAAAGCAAAGCAAGTTCCAAAACAGCATATACAGTATAATCTCCTATGTATTTATAACAAAAATTATAAACTTATATCTAAATATTAAATAATGTCCAATTTTATACTGTTCTGTTTCCCAAATTACTGACAATGAATATCTACTTATATGTTCTTAAACTTTAAAATTTATCAATTTAAATTTCATTTTTAAACTTTAATTTATAAAATTTACAAATTTTAAGCATATCTTTAAACTTATGTTTAATTACTAGTATTTCAAAATTTATTAAACTACTATACTCTTTTTTCCCACTGCAAATAAACTGTGGCTGTGATGTTTAAACCACATCATAAGTTAAAGTCTAGAAACTTATAAATTACAATTCTAGGAACCTAACTACCATTTGTAAGAATAATTCAGTAGTCAAATATGTTTCAAGTTCCAGATAACTAACACATTAAAGAATACCTAAAATATAGCCTAACTGCCAAGGGAGGACTAACTAATATTTCTTCCTGCTAAAAACAGATGCCAGAAAGCTTAACTCTCCTCTACATTATCAACACAAGCTACATTTTTCAGCTTTGTGCTTTGGTTATATTGTTTAAATCCAATGAAATGTGCCCCACTTCCCAGCCTGAGTTCAGATCTAATTCCTTCTCCCCCTCCTTCTTTATTATTCTTAAAGAGTTTTAAAAAGTTTATCTTGTTTTCTTACAAACTGGAAGACAAATACAAACTTATTAATCAATTTCTATAGTGAAGTATGTCACACACAAAGCCTATCAATCTAACAATATTATAAGAACTGTAGATTAATTACCATCAATAATTATCACTACACCGGATCCTTTATCTAGGACATCAGCAACAACTGCTTCACATTTTAATTTTCCTAGAATGAAAAGTAAAAGAAATACAGTGTCTTAAAAATGAAGGATTACTATAAAATTGAAAGAATTTAATAGCATTTTCCCTGTAAGCTCAGCAAAATTGAAAAAACTATAGTTCGAAATATGTTCCTGAACTCACTAGAAAAAATAATTCAATATTAAAAGCAGTCAGAATACCTGAATCACTAAATTTTAAACATCAACATTTGATACATTAGATCTTTTAAATAACCATTGTCAATGTCAAGGACTCCTCTTGGTCCTTTTTAACCCTGTTATTCAACAAACATTTGTTGAGCATATAACCAATACCATTTACCCCATTCTTTCTTAAATCTCTACTCCTGTTCAACACAGTACAATTCCTACCCAGAGCAATCAAGCAAGTAAAAAAATTTTTTAAGACATCCAAATAGGAAAAGAAGTCAAATTATCTCTCAATGAGATGATTCTATACCTAGAAAATACTAAAGAGTCCATCTACCAAAAGATTCCTAGAACTGATAATGACTTAGGCAAAGTTTCAGAATATAAAACCAATGAACAAAAAAAAGTATCATTTTATACACCAATGATATTCACTCTGAGAGCCAAATCAAGAATGCAATCTCATTTACAATAACCACAAAAAAATAAAATGCCTAGGAATACATCTAACCAAGGTGGTAAAATATATCTACAAGGAGAACTATAAAACAGTGCTGAAAGAAATCACCAGATGACAGAAACAAATGGAAAAACATTCCATACTCATGAGCTAAAAGAATCAATATTGTTAAAATGGTCATACTGCTCAAAGCAATCTGTAGATTCGACACAGTTGCCATAAAACTACAAATGTCATTTTTTACAAAATTAGAAAAAAAAACTATTCTGAAATTCATATGATACCAAAAAGAGCCAAAATACTCAAAGCAATCCTAAGTAAAAAAAAAAAAAAAAAAAAAAAAAAAAAGCTGGAAGTATGACATTATCTGACTTGAAACTACTATAAAACTACAGTAACCAAAACAGCATGGTACTGGTACAAGAAAAGACCAAAGGAAAACAAAAGAGAACCCAGAAGTAAAGCCACACACCTATAACCATCTGACCTCTGACAAAGTTGACAAACATAGGGAATGGGGAAAGGCCTCCCTATTCAATTAATGGTTCTAGGATAACTGGCTAGCCATACATAGAAAAATGAAACTATACTCCCACCTTTCATCACATACAAAAATTAACTTGAGATGGATTAAATATCTAGATGTAAGACCTCAACTATTAAAATCCTAGAATAAAACCTAGGAAATACCATTGTGGACATCAGTCTTAGGAAATAATTTATGGCTACATCATCAAAAGCAATTACAAGAAAACGCAGATTAACAAGGAAGACCTAATTAAACGATGAACAGCGTAAACAGATAACCTAAAAAATGGGAGAAAATATTCTCAAATTATGCATCCAACATAAGTCTAATAACTAGAATCTATAAGAAACATAATTCAACAAGCAAAAGACAAAGAATCCCATTAAGAAATGGGTAAAAGACATCAACAGATGCTTCCCAGAAGACATACAAGCCACCAACAAACATTAAAAAAATGCTTCACATCACTAATCATCAGAGAAATGCAAATCAAAACCACAATGAGATACCATTTCACATCAGTCAGAATGGCTATGATGAAAAGTCAAAAAATAACAGATGCTGATGAGAATGCAGATAAAAGAGAACGTTTATACACTGTTGATAAGAATGTAAATTAGTTCAGCTACCATGAAAAGCAGTTTGGAGATTTCTCAAAGAACTGAGAACTATCATTTGACCCAGCAATCCCACTACTGGATATATACCCAAAGGAAAAGAAATCATTCCACCAAAAAGACACATGCACTCATACATTTGTTGTAGCACTATTCACAATAGGAAAGACATAGAATCGATCTAGGTGCTCCAAAATGGTGGAAAGGATAAATAAAATATAGTACATATATACATACCATGGAATACTACACATTCAATGAAAAGGAACAAAGTCATGTGCTCCACAGCAACATGGATGCAGTTAGAGGTCACTATCCTAAGCAAATTAATGTACAAACAAAAAAACAAATACCACATGTTCTCATGTGAGTGGGAGCTGAACTCTGGGTACATATGGACATAAAGATGGGAACAAGAGACAATGGGGGACTACTAGAGCAGGGACAGCAAGAGCTGAAAACTACATATTGGATACTATGCTCACTACCTGAGTGATGGGATCACTCATATCCCAAACCTCAGCATCACACAATATTCCCTTGTAACAAATCTGCACAGGTACCTCCTGAATCTAAAATAAAAGTTGAAATTATTTTTTTAAATAATAAAAGAAAGCACTGGTGTGAGGTTTCCTTCACTCCAACTAGTGGTTATTTTTAACATGATGAAGGTAAGTCAGCCTATGACACTACCACTACAACCAACAAACGAGCCATTAAGAGATGCTGATATCAGTCTCCTGATGCTTGACGCCCTCTATCTTAACAATTGGTGTTTTATAAACAGTAACAGATTATAAACAGTAGTCTTGACCATGGTTTTCTGCAGTTTAAAAGGTTCCAAACCACAGGTATCTCATATTTTGAACATTCACATTTACTAGACAGTAAATTTTAAAACTACTTAAAGAAAATGCACAGGTTCTACTGGGGAAAAATAATTCATGAGAAATGTAACTTGAGGCTAAGGAGGTAAAAAAAAAAAATGTAAGAGTTATTCTCCATACCTCCTTATTCATATCACTGTTCAGTTATAATCATTCTGGAGTATACATCTAATCTCTCTTTCCATATTTTAAAATCCCTAAAGGCAGAAACCTATCTTATACATTTCTACTTCCCTTATAACAATGGTTTCCAAGGGAATCCATCAGGCTGGTTATATATGAAACATGTAAGGAGCTTCCTAGCCACTGTCACCAACACCACTACCCTACCATATACATACATACATACATATATGCACACATGCACACACACACACACACGCGATTTCCAGTGTCGGCTTTCAGAATTAACAGGTAATATAATGTAATAACTCAGGTGATTTTGATATGCAGCCAGTTTAGAAAATTACCTAACAGTGTGCCTTGCAAATACTAGGTATCCAGCAGATATTTGTTTAATGCACAATTACCCAAAGTATACTGTTTCAGACAAAAAAAGAAAATTTATGCTATAATACTTACACTGTTTTTGAAAACTTACGCTATAATACTTACACTGAAATAAAGCTATTAAGCTTCAAGCAATAAAAATCTCATACATTTTTTAGAAAAATAAAAAGGTTTAAGAAATATATTCAAGTAGGATTCTAGCTACTTGTTGACCTCTACAATTCATAATGTGAAATGATAAATATTAATAAAACATTCCTTTTTGTATTCTACCACCTTATATGACAGTATGTAATTAGACAACATCAAAGGAGAGAAATATATCAAATTATAGTAAAAAAAGTAAAAAGATTTACTAAACAAATAAGATTATTAAGAAAAGTAAAAATGATTATTAAGGCAGACTTCATTTTATTTTCTTCAAAACAAAACAGAAAAAAAAGAATTATGAGAAATTCTGTATCTTTTAACTTTAAAAGATATGAAAAATCAGTATTAAGATAAATACCTGAAAAAAGAATAAAGAATAATCATAAGAATCATAATGGATTATACATTGTCAATAAGTTTAGAGCACAAACACAATGTTCCTTTCAGTTGTTAATAACACATACATCAACAAATATATATTATGAAATGAATTTTTAAGACTACTGAAGGACAAAGCTTACAGTGACCAAAACACGTATTAGTTAACATCAATCTACTCTGATGGTTCACATACACATAATAATTTGTCATATGTTTTATTAGGTCACTCTACACCAGTTTAACACATTGATGCTGTTTAGAAGGTTAATCAGAAAATGAAAGTATGGTATTAGGGAATTAGTATATCAATAACTCACCTGCTCTGGGAAGTGGTTTATATAACTCCAAGTATTGCTCTCCATGAAGAACCTATGTGAGGGTAAACAAAATTTTATTAGCAAACAAACTTTCTTGCTCCATAGGTTCTGCCTGTGGCTACACTGTTACTTGCAAGTGACATTCTACTGTCCATAGGCTCACATCTCTCCCCAAGTTATCTATCTTCGCTTGGCTTCTTCTTAATCATGTGATTCAAAAGTAATCAATCCCCCAATCTAAAGACAGTCAGCTCTTCTGGAGCAGAGAAGATATATTTGTGTTCTTTCTTGGCATTCATAGAGCCTTGTTGACTGTTAATCACATATTATTTGTCAAGAGACAATAAACTAGGCTGTATTCCCAGAACTTATAACAGTGCCTGGAACATATTGGACATTCAATAAATATTCACTGAATAAAAATGAACAAATGGGACAGTGCTAGTAATTTCAGGTCACACACACCAAATACAAATGACACAACTAAAACACAAAGAAAAATCTTACAACTATGTTCAAAATGAAAGCACTGTCAATGTGAATATCCCTTTCTTGTAATACTTTGTAAACTACTTACAGAATAGATACTAAGGACACTGTGTAACTTAATAGCCACTTAACCTCAATGTATCAAAGGAGGAATGCACCAAGGTATGTAGGAAAATAACAGGAAAGGAAAACCAAAACCTGAGGCATACACACAAATGACCCCACTTCACTACAGAGGGACGGTTTCCCAGTCTTCCTCAGAAACCCAAAAGGGTAACAAAAAAAGAAGGGGAGGTGGTTGACAGGAAGACAAATGAGGTTGGGCTTACTGTGTCATATAGCCTGAAAAAACTCAAGATTAAAAAGGTCAGGATTCAAGTTCCAAGATGTATGAACACCATTTAAAATTTCCAATTGTTAGGGGGGATTTTGAAACGTTTTGATTTTTTACACTAACATTGTTAAAGTATTTAGCAACTAACCATGGGAGTATGAATGAAACACCAAACTACCCAGCACATATTTCTTGCCTTCCTCCCAACTTCATGAAACATTCTAATAAAATAAGTGGCCATCAACTCACAGCACCAATGGGCTAACTGATCCACCAGTAAATAGGTTCTTTAATCTGTCAAAGTTACAGATAGAAGCTCACACAGCTCCATGATTCAAAAATTATTGCCAGGCTCATAACCTGAACCTTACTCCAAGAAATAAAATATACCCTATGTCAAAGAACTTCTCACCATTGTTCACTCCTCCCTTGAACCACTTTCTTCATTTGGCTTCTCAAATATCACGTTCTCCTGACACTCCTCATACCTCACCAACCATTCCTGCTCAGTCTCTTTTTGCTAGTTCCTCTGCATCTCTTCACCCTCTCAACATTGGAGGGCCTCTAAACTCAGGCCCCTTCTTTACTTACAGTCATATAATAGATGACTTCATCTAATCTCCAGTCTTTAAATACCACCTAAATGCTAAGGACCCAGTCAGAACTCTCCCTGAACTCCAGACTCATATATTCAACTGTCCATCTTACATCTCCACTTAAATGTATAACAGCCATCTCAAACATATCTGAAACCAACACCTAATCCACCACACCTTAAAATAAATGTGTATCTATAAATTATACATAATGCTATATGTAACTACTATACATATTAAATATACTATATATATTATATATTGCATATAGATGTGTATTGTATAATTATATGCAAAGTATATATATGCCCACATCATTATATATATATACATAGCTCATCCCTTGACTCCTCTTTTCTAACCTTCACATGCAGCACTTTTACTTGTATTATTATAATAGACTCTTAAGTGGTTTCTCCACTTTGGCTCCCATATAACCTATTCTCCAACAGCAGCAAGCTTGAGCCAGTGAGTGAACATACCCAGATCATGTCACTACTCAGCTCAGATTAACAAATGGCTTCCCGTGTTCATCAGAGTATACACTGATAGCTTTACAATTACTCCATGGCCTTCTCCTACCATTGCCCCCTGACAGCTATGCTGCCCCCCTTACTGTTCCAAAAATAAACCAAGTATGTGCTATTTGCTTTAACTATTCCTCCCTGGATTGCTTCTTCACCACTGTCATGAGGTGAGGATTATCATATCCATTTTATAGATAAGAAAACTGGACCGGGCACAGTGGCTCAAGCCTGTAATCCCAGCACTTTGGGAGGCCGAGGCGGGTGGATCACGAGGTCAAGAGATCGAGACCATCCTGGTCAACATGGTGAAACCCTGTCTCTACTAAAAATACAAAAAAAATTTCTGGGCGTGGTGGCACGTGCCTGTAATCCCAGCTACTCGGGAGGCTGAGGCAGGAGAACTGCCTGAACCCAGCAGGCGGAGGTTGCAGTGAGCCGAGATTGCGCCATTGCACTCCAGCCTGGGTAACAAGAGCAAAACTCCATCTCAAAAAAAAAAAAAGAAAACTGAAGCCTAGAGATGATACTTACCCTTGGTCAAGTACCAAGTAAATGGCAGAGAGAAGATAAATAACATCATGTCAAGATTATGGGACTACACATACTCGTTACTTTCTTCTTTTTGCTGGCATTTTAAACTAACTCTCTGCTCTTTTATTCTTAAAAAGATATGCTAAATGTTTACTCTTGAACCACCATAAATAATTATATAAATATATATACACACACTACACACATACATGTAAAATATAACATTTATAATTAGTATTTACAAAAATTGAAGAAAAGCAAAATAAAGGTTTCTTATTGGGCATACCTTTGCAAAGTTGATTGAAAGCCCAGGAATTTCTGCTAATCCTCCACCCATTATAGATTTCTGACCTATGATAACTCCGAAGGTGGGCAAACAGGAGAAATCAGAACTTCCTTCATAAACAAATTTCAAATCTTTTGGATCCTTGATTGATGCTCCCACTCCAAGGGCGTACATAATAGCTTCCAGTTCCGTATAAGCAGAAGAAAATGAAGGGAGCTTCTGGCCGACAGCTCCAGCCTACAGGACAGTTTTAAAAAGTAATTTCTTTCATTGATATTTTTGTCAAATCCTTGAAATTTTAAATTTCCAAAACTAATAACTTCTTACATACCTAGTTTTGCTTTTGAATAGATAGGAACAAAATGTCAGTGAATTTGATGGAGCATAATTATTGTAATTATTTTTGAAATTTTTTTAAATGAAAACTAATTAGATAATGTGTAGAAAAGAACTTCATTTATAGATAATAACTTTTTTATTGCTTGCTTCTTGCTAATAGTATGCCTCCTATTCAACTTTCCTGACTCTAATTCAGCAACTATTAGCTACACAAAAATTCAAAAAATAATGAATTTATTACTAAGGACAGTAAATTGCTCATACAATCTAATGTATAAAATACACTGTAAACAGATGAGCAAAAAACATTGCTTAATGCATGTAAATTTGACTGCCTCATAATGTTTTTAAGTAAAATAAAATTTAACTTGAATTTCCTTCCCAGTATATTCCCAGGAATATCCTTTGTCTAACTGAATGTTGTCTTTTTCTATTTAGTGATAACATGCATAGTTAACAAGTATATATTAGGTTATAAAAGAATAATGTCCAATTTTCAATCATATTTATTCTAAATTAGAAGTTGGTAAACAAGGACTAAATGGTTTATACAGGTTGATTAAAAATAAGAAAAACAGAAAGAATATGTAATAGAAGCACTATGTGTAGCCCACAAAGCCTAAAATATTTATTACATGGTCCTTCCTTCATCAAAAAGGTTTGCCAACCCTTATTTTAAGCTAAAAATCTCATTTACATATTGACCATATTCTCAGGCTTAAAAATCAGAATTTTAATTTTCTTTATTACTATGCCTACCATAGGTTACAAAACACCAGAATCTAATATGGCAAATGACTTACTTCTTCCTATTTATCCAGTACAATTTTTTTAAGAAAGGATACAAAGAGGAGAGAGTAAATAGGCAAATTTCACAGGAGCTATAACCACAATTGTTATATTTTACTTACAGCCATGTTGAAATTGTTCTAAAATATAGTATCAGTGCTTCCCTTAAGAGAAATGACCCCAAAGAGCCACTAAAATAGATATCCTTTTCTAAAAAGCTAGAAAATCTTACCACTTAATAATAACACACACTAAAGTAGAATTATTGATAGTCAAAAAAAAATTTGTCTAACTGTACTGAAAACGAAAAAGTTTAATATTTGAGCTTATGTTCACTCAAATTCTATTAATAGTATATATTTTATATAGTTTTATTATCACTTATTTAGCAATAAATTAATAGCTTAGAAAATAATTTTTGTATGTGAAAAAAGTTTCAAAATTATTTACATTTCAAACAAAATTGCTGATTATAGGCATTTTCAACAGAGGTATAAAGCCTTTTGTATGTTAGGTAAAGGGGTAAAAAACTCAAGGAAGAACAGGGAGCGCATAGCATAACCTTCAGAAGTCGTGGTGTCATAGTCTCCCCTCCCACACACAAATTCCCACACAACTCAAATCTACTTAAAATCAATTCATATCTATCCTTAAAGATATAAAGAACTATGAACTATGGAAGGCAGACAGGCCTGATATCCAGATATCAGGACTAGATATCAGTTTAGCCTCAAGCCATTTTTATCAACAGTTGAGGTAATCCCTTTCCTCCTCTTCCATCTAGTACCTCCCTGAGTCAATTTCCAAACAGCACTGCAGTGGGTAAAAACGAGGTTGGCTAACAACCATGCAGGCAACTAACTTGATTCACTACACCCCCCAAATGGAGCCTCCCAAAAATTATATGCAAGTAAGGAGTATCCCTCTGAAAAGTTCCTGATAAGCTTTCAGCAGTTCTGTTTCCAATCAGGGGAAGAAGTTGAGTGGGTTACCTCCATTCTTCAAGCCCCACTCGGCTACTAGGAAAAACCTTGGAAACTGATAACCAATTGCTCTGATCTCCTTTCCCATTAGGGAAAAGAAACGCATAGTACAGTCCAGAGAAATCTAAGAGATGGAAAACGAGGAATTAAAAAGACAAATAAAGTGCCCTGGACAGTGTTAGAATTCATCTTCAGCCATCTCTTCATGTGGCTCAACTGTCCTGAATTCTCTGTATGTTGAAATCAGGCTGTATGTTATAAAGTCAATAAGTAATGATGTCTGAATAAATCCTCTATTTTAAATTATCTCTGCACTGCTTCTCTCCATTATTAAAAACTGAAAGAAAGTAACTGTAACCAAAAGAAGAAAGAAAGCAGTGGGGGAGGAAGAAAGCAGGGAGGGAGGAAGGGTAAAAAAGTCTCCAGAGAAGGCAAAAGCTTTAGGTTTTTTCCCCACTTACAAATCCTGATGTTGCTGTAGATGTTGCATGACTAGTATGATTTGCTGAAATTCCTCCTTCTGAATCTATTTTACTTAGAACTTCAATTATACTGCCAGTTGATTCTAAAATTAAACATGAAAAACAAAAAAATAAAGCTTTGTTAAAGATGTGACTAAGAAGAGTTACAGTATGCTACATAATTATTCCTGTAACATTCAGCAAACCCGCTACAGAGTCTCCATTGCCACTCAACAGTTCTGAATGTATGATGTCAGGCTATTGCAGGAAAAAACTGTGAAAGAATGAAATAGGCCAAAAATAAATGGACATCCTCAATGAAAAACAAGACATTGTCTAGCATATCCTTCCCCAGTTATCTGATTCTAAGGGGCTCTGAGCTTTCCAATGTCTTTAAGCTTTTAACAACCTGTAAAGAGGAATACTTGTCTATAGACATGCAATTTGTCTGGTAGAGAGATCACTGATTTCTCTTCTCAACTGATTTCCATTCTCCTCAGTTGAAAGAATGCCAAGATTATCTCCTCACACCCATCCCCATCTCTCTGTAATAGCTCTAAAGATAGTACCAAAAATTCTTCCAGAGAAAACTATCATCACAATCAATGACTCCAGACAGGGATCAAAAGCTGCTGCTTTGGGGGTCTAAAGGGTTAATAAAGGAGGCTCATGAGGCATCCACATATCCACAAGATATTCTGAAGGCCCTGGGACCTCTCTAACAAACCTTAGAGATATAAGAATCTGAACCCAGACAATAATATAACCAAGGACAGGCACAGTGGCTCACACCTGTAATCCCAACACTTTGGGAGGCCAAGGCAGGCAGATCACTTGAGGTCAGGAGTTCAAGACCAGCCTAGCCAACATGATGAAACCCTGTCTCTACTAAAAATACAAAAATTAGCCAGGCGTGGTGGCACATGCCTATAATCCCAGCTACTCGGAGATTGAGGTGGGAGAATCACTTGAACCCAAGGGGCAGAGATTGTAGTGAGCTGAGATCATGCCACTGCACTCCAGCCTGGGAACAAGACTCCATCTGAAAAAAAAACATAAACATAAACTATACAGTCTGAGAAGACCAGAAATATCTGCCATTCCTAATGACACCAGTAGAGAGGTTTCTTGCCTATTACTCATCCCCCTACCATCCCATTCATATTGCTACCTAGAGGGAAGGCTATTTAGTTGGAAGGCACCTTAGTATAGGCTAAAAGTACTCCTTTCAGAGATAAACAATTTAAATTACTTGTTGGCTCAAACACTGGCTAGTTTAGTTTTTCTGGGATTTAGTTCCATCATCTGTAAAATGTAAACACTAGAATAAATGCTCTGGAAAGTCAACTCTTACTGAAAAGATCATTTTTTTAAATTGTGCTTCAAATAGAGTTACCTTTTCATTTATAATTAGTTACGTATAATAATTCAATTAGTTTGCTTTATAATAAATCTAACACTTTTGAGGTAGAAATACTTTTTGAGATAGATATCAGAGGAAAGTTTTTAACTATACTTCTTTTCTTTCACTTGTTTTTATGGATTGGTGACTATCATTCATAGAATAAATTTCTCAAATGTCTAAATATAAAATACAAAAATATTACCACTTATGACATAACAATCATGATATCATCTGATTGAGAATAAGCATAATGAAAACTTCACTGAGTATTCCAGTAGGTAAGAAAGTATCATTAAGGAGGAAAAAAACAGAATAGTCATTTTTCAAATATGTTCTATCAAACTCTAAATATTATACTACGATGAGGAAAAAAATGTTTTTCTATAAATTTACTCTGACTCATCTTTTCAGACAAGTATTTCAAATTTCATATATTACATGCATATATGAGTTATGCTAGAAAAAAAACCTGACTTTTATTTGGTTATCTGGTTCTGTGGCATGTCATAAGAGATTAAACAATTGAAGTTAATGAGCAATTATTAAGTCTCTTCTATGAGTTCAGTACTATGCTAACACCAAATATATACAAGAAGTAAATACAAGAAACAGTCTCTGCCTCAAAGGAACTTAGCAGGCAATTAAGAAATCACACATTCATGAAACAAAAGAAGTAGAGAGCAATTATAATTAGATGCTCAAGTAGTAGGAGTTTGGCTAACAGAAGGATCAATGTACCCTAGATTATCTGGGCAGGTTTTGTTGAACACTTGGGGCTTGAGTTTTTCGAAAGAAGGGTTAGGATTACCAGAAGAGAGAAAAGGTAGAAGTATGTTAGAAAAGCAAAGAAACAGTAGCGAAGACGAAGTGCTAAAACAAAGCCACATTTATGCACTAAACAGAAAAGAACTAAGCCTAAATTTTTAAAAAGGCTGAAATAATCTTTTTGAGAAAGAAAAATATGGTAAGATTGAGAGCAAATGGGCAGATAATGGAAGACTTTGAAACCAACCATCAGCAAGGGTGTTAAGTGCATTCAGCACAAATGAGAAAACATGACATCCATCTCCTAATCACACATAAATCAAAAAAGCAGGATAATAACAAAGCTGAAAAACTGACAGTGAGAATAACATAAATATCTTTAAATGTGAAGAGTTCTAATACCTACTAGAGCAGAAAATATGCTATAGATAATCTTAGTATTACAGTTAACATAGAAGATAATTCCATAAGAGAAGAAAATGCTTGCTGCCTCTGTGAGGGCTAACTGACAGCAACTCTCTTTACCTTGGATACTCTGAGGCTTGCTGGCATTCTCAAAGTTACAGATCTTCTTCCAGTTAGCCTTCACTGCCTCAGGAGTCATTGGGTGATTCTTTTGTCTTACAATGGCTCCAAGCGTCCGTTCCCAGCGTACTGGTTATAGAAACAAAACTAACATACTGAGCATATAGTTGAGAGACAAAGTAAGATGCGTAAGAACCTTTCATTTTTTAACTTTAAGACAAAGTTCAGAAAAAAAGGAATTCTAACTCCTAAAGAATTTTACTATAATCATTAAAATAAATTTTTCCTAACAAACCCATTAATATAAGGTCAATTTAATGAAAAATTTGAAGCTAAAGGGAAAAATTTCTCTTCTGTCTACGCTAGACAGTACTAAAGGTAGAATGTTATAATGTCTGTGAAAAAGTTTAATTATATAATAATCACACCAAAAGATGGACTTCATGACCACAGATTCCCCAAGTAATACAAGTCATTCTTCTTGTTTATAAAATGAAGATAACAGAATAGAGCTTTGCTGAGTTAGCATACTGAAGTCCAATGGTAATAATAGGTCAAAGACTTCAGTTAACAAAAAATTACTGTAACAGGTGGCCCCAAATAATTCTCCCTTTCTTTCTCTTTGCTCTACCTCTATTTCCACAAGAAGTCAGTAGAATGCACAGATTCATAAAAACCGTTACTGCTGCATAAGGAGAATTTTTAACATTGTTTCCTCTTCAAAAACCAGAGGAATAAATAACTACTAATAACCATATTTAAACATAATAGTCAAACATTGATGATTGTTAAACTGAAGATTTGTCTTTGGGAATGACAGAAATGCCTGCGTCTATAGCTTTCCTATTAATAAAGTACTGGATATAGCTTTTATTGCAAAACCTTATATTCCTTTTTTAAATGGATATAATAAGACCCTCAAAAATGCTGGAAGAATATAAGCCACTTTAAACATTAAAGAAAATGGCCATTAGTGCTAAAAATATTGTACTATTAGAGCAATGCCCTCCTGAGATAGCAACCTTTTAAATGATTCAGTTAATTGGATTAATTTTGATACCCATAGCCAACTAAATATAAGTTTAGATACAGGAATTTTCACAACTTTTTGTAATTTCATAAAGCAATTCTCAAATTTGGAGTTCACAAGGTTTAAGAGATGGGATAGGAGAAGGTAGAAGCCAAGTAAATTTACTATTGGGCTAAAGCAGAATAATTCCCATAGATCAGCTGCAATTTCTGTCCCAGAAAGTTGTCCAATGTGATTCCTTACTCCTTTTGATGTATCATGCTCCACGGAAGAAAATAATTACATGGGAAAATTGGAGAACTTGCCTGCTGCTCTAGAATAGGCTCAACCCATCTTTTCCAAAACAGCTCTCCCTCCCACTCACTTCTCTGCTGAAACAGCAAGAACAAGCATGTGGGAAGTCAGAGACATGGGAGGATGAATATCAATATATATTGTCTGAAGGAATAGCCAGTTCTGAATAAGACAGGACAAGTCCTGAATAAGGACTGCCTACAGGAAAAATATAGGGTCTTGAAAGGGCCACAGGACTAAAGGACAATCGCCATGTTCTAAAATACCTATTTTGCTATAGCAATGTTTTAGGTTTAAAGATATGGAAATAATTTATGCAAATCAAAAACTGAGAGAGACTTACATTTTCCAATCCATCCTGCACCAACCTACCAAAAAGAGGAGGAAAGCATTATACCATCTAATGTGAAATCACTAATACAATTTTTTAATTAAAAAAAAGGCAGCAGCACCATTACTAGGAGTATTAAAATTCAAGATGACTGTAGATGAAAATAATACAGCTCTATAAAAGTCCCCTGGCCCCCATGACTTTGCACTGTTCACATTATCAGAGCACAAACATAAAACAACACAATGAAGTAGAAATGCATGTAACAGAAAAGAACGAATCTGATGTCAGAGACTAAGCCTTGACACAAATTTGTCTGACTACCCTGGCCAAATTATGTAACCTGCCTAAATCCAAGTTTCCTCAAATGTAAAATAAAAATGACAGTACATATTTCATGTGGTTACCATGAAGCAAACAATATAAATTGTACGCTGCCTTGATATAGTTACACTAGACAAATCAGCAGTGATTTTGATAAAAGGCAAAATACCTATCACTTTTTTACTGTATTTTGGAAATGAGGTAATAAGCTACAAGCTCCTCTCAGGTGCTAAAAACAACTGCTCCAGGTGAGCCAAAAATATTTGTATCTGCCACTCAAGATACCTATCAGAACTTCAAAAAGTAGAAATTTAATTTCAAGGCTTAAGTCAGGATGTTAAGCACATTCATAGGATATTCTGCCAATCATGCATGCCAAATGTTCCTCACTAAAAACGTTCACAACATAGTAAAAGAAAACAGCAACATATAGGACTTCATATGCAGCATGATCCCAATTGTCCGTTTCTGAGTATATAAAACACATATCTAGGCCAGGCATGGTAGTTCACGTCTGTAATCCTTGCACTTTGGGAGGCCAAGGCAGGCAGATCATTTGAGGTCAGGAGTTCGAGACCAGTCTGACCAACATGGTGAAACTTCCATCTCTACTAAAAATACAAAAATTAGCCAGGCTTTGTGGTGAGTGCCTGTAATCCCAGCTCAGAAGGCTGAAGCAGAAGAATCACCAGGCAGAGGTTACAATGAACCAAGATCATGCCACTGCACTTCAGCCTGGGCAACAGAGCGAGACTCCGACTCAAAATCTAATAAAAATAAAATATAAAACACATATCTAATAAAAGACTGGAAGGAAATACAAAAATAATATTAATAGTAGTTCTCTCTAGATAGTAATAATGTAGGCAATTTTTATTTTATTTTTTATGTTCTTATATATTTGAAATTTTCACAAAAAGCACATATTTTTTTGTTCACAAACTTAGTAATAAACATAATTGTAAAAGATAAATAGTTTTAAAAAATTCCTTAGTGAGGTAAAAGAAGGGCAGGCAAAGTTTTGAATTACAGATGGCTTGATATTATTAAATTTTCCTCTTCTAGGAAACAGAGTTGTTAAGTTCTTTCTGCCTCTAATGTGCCACGATTCACCTTCAGTGGCTGTGATTAGGAAGGCAGAGGTGCACATCTCTGCTTAGACATATGTAGACTGTTTTTTTTCTTACTTTACCCATCAGTTTTTCATTCAAATGAAATAAGCTAATTATCCTTCACTTCAAATTGAGCCAGGTTTACAACTGGTTCTGTATACAACAGGTTCATTATTACCACAGAGAATTTAAAATGGGGCAGGGTCTAATATACAGCAGTTTAGGCTAGAAACAAGAGATCAAACTCAAATGCATAACCAAAAAATGTATCAATTGGCTTTAAAAGGTCTAAAAGAACATTCACCAAAGTAGTAAACAATGGATCTCACTACATGATGGGATTATGTGTGGATTATGATTTTTATAATAAACATTTAAAACTTTGCAATAAAAAAACAGAAAAGTTTATTTTTTATGTAAAAATAAATAATGTTATATTTATTGACCCATCACACAAGATGAAATTCCTGCTATATTGATAATTAAAATTGGCGGGTGAGTGCTATGTATTAGTTTAAAATATGACTTGTAGTTGTCACAAGAAATCCCAAGAAAACTAAAGCTCAGGAAGGTCAAAGCAGCAATTCCCAGAGTAAGAATTCAAAATCTGGCTTGGTTGACTCTAAACTCCAAGCTTCATCTTTTCACCTTATCATTTATCTTCTTAAATAGTGAAACAGCCCACATTTTGACTGAACACATCAAACCAGCCACATTTTCATTTAGTAGGAATATTACAAATGTAGAATTTTACTACATTTGTAGTAAAAAAATAGTTTATAAAGTTGCTATTACTTTCAAAAAAAAGGATATTAGTCGACACTTTTAATTATAACATAGACACAATACTTAAAAATACACAAGTGATGTCCACTGGTGCAGATTTTCACAAATGTAAGCAACTGGAGAAAACTAGTAAGAGAAAACAGAAAGGTGCAAATACCTCAAACAAGCCACCATTCTCCTCACAGCTCTCGTGACAAAGCCAAAGGACAAGGGGTGCCACGTACTCTGGCTTCAGGGCTTCCACGAGATCTGAAATAAAGAATATACACATATCTTATCAATCATTTTACTTTCTAAGAATTTCTTGCTTATAAAATTATAGGTAACTCAGAGACCTTTAAAATAAGAACAAACTTAGTATGTACATAACTAGTCTAATATTTAAGGTTTTGGAAAGACTTTTTTGAATCTCAACTAAGCCATTTCTAAAGAGTTCTTAAGCTTCTAAAATTTAAGTACAAGACACACCTTTCCAAGATGAGTAACATATTAATACTGCTCAGTAGAAGAAAAGTTAGAATTGCCCAAAGATTGGTGAGCAAAACTGTATTTAACACGAGAATCTTGAGTAGCATTTACTCCCAAAACTATTTTATTCTCACAGCTATTAACAAGAATCTAGAAAACCACAAAACAGCTTTGACCATTGTAATGGCAGGTAACTATTGACACTGCTGAATCCTAACCACTAGACCACCAGGGTAGGCAGATAATGATTGAAATGTACCATGCAAACATCACTGATGAGTACACAAAGTATAAGAACTACTTTCCCATTACATGCTTTACTTTTTTAAAACTTTTTAAAAATTAATATATAATAGTTATACATATTTTGGGGGTACACATGATATATCTGATACCTTATACAATGTGTAATGACCAAATCAAGGTAACTGGTATATCCATCAACTCAAACATTTATCTTGTCTTTGTGTTAAGAACACTACAAACCTTCTCTCCTAGCTATTTTGAAATACACAACAAATTATAGTTAACTATAATTTTTCTATTGTACTATCAAATACTAGAATTTATTCCTTCTATCTAATTTCACTTTTGTAGCCCTTAACCATCTTCTCTTTCCCGTTGCACCCTTTCTGTGAGTAGGTTCGTGAAGCAGAAAGGTACTACATAAGGAACACAAAGACCTGGATTTTGGTACTGACCCTGCTGTGTAAGCAACTTAGGAACTTGAGCCCATCATTCAACTTTTCTGGGCCTGTATTTTCATCAGTAAGCTAGTAATTTAAACGCTTCCGCTTCCTATTCCACCAAGTTCTTCCAAGGCGCAAATGAGATACAATTTGTATCTTATATATAACACCTTAAATATCATACAATTTTATCTGAAAGATCAAATAAATGCAAAAAGTGTGAAATGACAAAATACAATTTTGTATTAATGTGCTAAAGTTAAAAAGTTGGTATATATAGTCCCTGTAAATTAAAAAGCAGTTCCAAAAACTCTTCACTTTATAGCCTCTAAAAGCTCTCAAGTACACAAGCATTCCAGTGGCACTGTTTTCGAATTTTCATTATATGCATGAAGAAAAAAACAGAGGAAAACTCCAATCATCTCAAATTACACAATAAAACAAATTATTAACTTATATACCCATTCATCTCAATACGCAACATTCCTCTAATTTTCCATATGTCCACTGGCAAAACTGAATGGTAAAGGATATTTATGTATAAGAATTCAGATATTTGAGTTGACTAACTTCAAACTGAATGCAAAATAAACACATCTATAAAATGCAACAAAGCATCTATTATGTTAGGTGAGAAAAAAAAAAAAAAGAACGTAAGTCACATAGAAAAAATATGTCTGCCCTACAGTTTATTTTGTATATTATCACTAATAACATAAGCAAATATTTTTGCTTGCCAGTTCATTCTCAAACTCCTAGGTTAGCCAGACAAAGATTTAATAGATATTAAACTCAATTTTGTAAAACGAAAACCTACCTCAAGAGAGTCAATAAAAGATCAGAGAAGTCCCATAGCTATTAAAATATCAAGTTATATAAAATCAAAAACAGAAAGGTTTACTTACTCAACCCAAAGTTTCTTCCACAACACTAGATGTCAGGATATCTAGCATTATAGTGAGCCAAGTACTCTGAAGAATACTTCTGTTTCCAGCAATGAGATTATTTTAAAGCATTATTGAGATAGAGAAAGTATCCTCCAACCAGAAAGGAAAAAAAAAAAAAAAAAAGAAGAGTCCTTAGTGCCATGCTGCAGGGAAGGAAGGGTTGCCCTGAGAATGACATGAGTAACAATACTGACACCTAGGTACTCAGAGGTAGGCCAGCATCAAGATGGGGTCCAAAACCTACTACAAGAAACTTCAACTCTTAAGGAAAACTGAAGCAGACCAAAATTGGCTATGCCTCCTGGTAACCAGCAGTAGCAAAAACAGATTTTCTCTGAAGAAAACATTGCCGTTCTCACTCATAGGCGGGTGTTGAACAATGAGAACACATGGACACAAGGAGGGGAGCACTACACACTGGGGTCTGTTGGGGGGAATAGGGGAGGGACAGTGCGGGCTGGGGAGTTGGGGAGAGATAGCACGGGAAGAAATGCCAGATACAGGTGAAGGGGAGGAAGGCAGCAACTCACACTGCCACGTGTGTACCTATGCAACAATCTTGCATGTTCTTCACATGTAACACAAAACCTAAAATGCAATTAAAAAAAAAAAGAAAACAGTGCCAATTCAGAACACAGAATAAGATCAGGTAAAGAGCTGATAATTAGAAATCACCAAGCAAAAAATGAAGGGAAGCCACTATGAATAAAAGTTAAAAGAAATAGCAGATTTAAACTACAATGAAATAGAAATGTTGGAATTTAAAATATAATATAAAGAAAAGTTAACTATTGATTAGCATGTGTACCCTCCCTGACTCACAATTTTAGTTCAAAGTACATATTCTAGAAAAATTCTTGTTCTTGTGATCCAGAACACATGTACAAAAATAAAAGCAAATTAATTAAAAAGCAACCCATATATTCATTAATAAGAATTAAATTCACATAACAGACTTGCAGCAATAAAATCGAATGACCTACAGCTATATATAAATCTTAGAGCCCTAAAATTGCATGGAAAGACAAAGTGCAATTCCCAAAAGAAAAAAATTTTTAAATGACAATGTCAAAAAGATCAAAACCAAGAAAACCAAACAATAAAGTGTTTATCCATTTAATTCTCTTTAAAAAAAATTAAAGGTAAGGGAATGAATAGTCTCTAAGCAATTACCTCTTGGGGAGGAAATGGGGTGAGGTATAAAAGATAACAAAAATAGACACAAGTTACGGAAATGCTCCAGTGGGGGGCTGCACAACAGCAAGTCAGTAAGATGATTCCCAATGACCCCCATGTGCTTTTTGTGGTCCTCTTTCACAGTGTCCCAAGGCTAGTCTGTGTCATCTACAGGATATAATAAAAGTGATGGTACATATCTTCTAAAATAGGTTATAAAAGACACTGCAGCTTCTGTCTTGGTGTCTCTCTTTCAAATCGTTAGCTCTGGGGAAAGCCAGCTGCCATGTCAAGAGCAGTCCTATAGAAAAGCCCACATGGTGAGAAACTGAGGCCTCCTGACAACAGGTAGGAAGGAATGCCAGAGGCCTGTTGGCAACTGCCATGTGCATGAATGAGCTTGGAAGTAAATCATCCAAGCCAAGCTTTCAAATGACTAGAGTGCCAGGAAACATCTTAACCAAAACCTCATTAAAGACCTAGAAGCAGAAGCTCCTAGCTAGGCCACTCTAAATTCCTGACCCCAGAAATTGAGTGAGATAATAAATGTTGGCTGTTTTAATCCACTAAGTTTTAGAGTAGTTTACTACACAGCAATAAATAACTAATACGGCTTGAAAAGTTAGTTCCTAGATACTCATTATAGGGTTATATTTTATTTCATGTAAGAAACATGTAAGTTATATACATTACTTTTCATGCATCAAGTATATTGTGAAGGGGAAATGAAATAGCAAAAATGTCTCCACACATTACTCATAATATCTGGTTCTTTAACAAAAAATTCCTTTAATTGCCCATAAGGAAATATTTTAGAGGAGGAGAAGAAAAAGTTCTGGTTAAAATAAATTTTCAGATATTCTAAACTATGAAAGTTAAGAAAAAAGCAGAATTAAAATAACAGACTTTTAGGACTAGAAATAATAGTCCTAAAATTAAGAGTAATTTTTAAATGATCTACAACTCTCTTACTTTATGGAAGAGAAAACAGATCCAGAAGGATTAGGTCATTTGTCTAAAGTAGACTACTTTCTAAACTTCTTTTACTAGAGCATGGTTGGCATAACGGATTAAACATTTACCTAATGCCTTTAGTGGTCCAGAACTGTTCAAATAAATGGTAGCATACACTGAAAGGAAAACAAAGTTAAAATCTAAAGTTTTAAATACTTTCTTGAAAATGTACTGCTTCCCAAAGAGTCTAGAACTCACAGCAAAAAGTGACTAAAGGCAGAAGTCTAACAAAGGGATGACAGGCACGAATTCTAATTAGTGGTTTGTCTTGGTATGAAGCAGGGAGGTGGAAAGAGGTACAAAGTTAGATTCAAGTTACTGACAATGTTCCAATTATTGGGTTGAAAAGTGAGTTCAAGAATATTCATTATATTTTTACGCTTTATTTCTTATCTATAACCTATACTGTTTTGTGTCTATATAGTATTATACTTAAAAGGAAATAAATAAATTGTATGTCTTTCACATAATATGATTCTTTAACAAGAATTCCTTTAACACAAATATGAGAACATAAAAAGTTTTTAAAGAATAAGGGACTTTAAAATGGCTCTGCTATCAAAGAAACAGGGGAAAAAATTAGATCTCAGGTCCAAATAGGTATTCTACACTAAAGAGAACTGGTTAGACACAGCACTTAGCAAAGGCTGCAAAGTACTGCTATAGTATTACAGATCCCAAGTTCTAAAATGCATGTTAGTTCAAATGTGAAAATAAATGGTACTGCAAATATTTGTGTTCTATGGAGTAGCTAATTTTAAAATAATTCCATCGATTATTTTGTACCATTTCACAGAGGCTACTTATCAAGTATTATGTAGATTTTCTTTTCAGAAATATATAAAAATCAGGAATACCAAAAAACACAGTTCTCCATAGTCAACTATTATATAAGTAAATAAATAAAGGTAGGCTCTCAATTATCCATTTAAATTTTTAACTTTTATATTTTTAAAGAAAGTTGAAAGACACACACTATCTCATTCCAAGACTTAGTATAAAACTAGAGTAATCAAAACATCATGATATTGTTAAAAGAACAGGCACACAGATGAATGGACTAGAACAGAAAAATCCAGAAACAGGCCCAGGTGTAAGTGGTTGATTAATTTCCACAAAGGTGCAAAGGCAACCGAAATCAAGAATGAGGAACAGTCTATGGAACAAAGGAAACAGTTTCTTGAACAAACAGCTTTTTCTCTTTTTAAGGCAGGGTCTCAGTCCATTACCAGGCTAGAGTACAGTGGTACAACCATAGCTCTGCACCCTCCAGTTCCTGGGCTCAAACAATCCTTTCACCTCAGCCTTCCAAGTAGTTGTGACCACAGGTACAAACCACCCTGTCCAGCTGGACTTTATTTAAAAAGGGAAGATAAACTATTACGTGTTAAAGGAAACTTAAGAGATATAAAAAATGCCTATGGACCTTGTTTGGATCCTTACTGGAATAAACCAACTCTAAAAATATCTCTTTCTAGACAACTAGAAAATTTTAATATGAATTTGATAGTAGGTGATGTTAGCAAGTTATATTGTTTGGTTGTAATAATAGCATTGTGGTTATAATGTCCACATCTGTTAGAGATTCATTTCCAAGTGTTCATTAGGTGAAATATAATGTCTAGGATTTACTTTGAAATATTACAGAAGAAAAGGGAGAAGGCGACAAAAAAATCAAACAAAATTGGCTAAATGTTGATACTTTGCTAGAGCTGAATGATGAGTACAAATAGCTCTTAACTTTCTTTACTCTTATGTATATTGGAAAGCCACACAAAAAAAGTTTTTTTTTTTTTACACAAAGAAACAAATGACCATAAAAAGAATTTTATTTAATTAAATAAGGTAAAATGCAACCATTAAGAGATACCTTATTAAATGGAAAAATGTTCATGATACAGGAAATAAAAAAATAATAACTAGACTTCCAGTCTGCACTCCAACATAAAAAGGGCTTGGAAGTTGTTACTTCTATCCTCAAACCAAGACAAAAGCTTAAACTAAAAATCAACAACTCTACTTATCGCCACCAGAGAATTCAGGTCATGGATCAAACCACCACTGGGAAAACTGAAGACACAGGTAAATTCAGAAAACCCAGCTTACTAGGAACAGAAGCATCCAGAGCCCAAGCAGTTAGAACACTTAAACAGTAACTGACAAATTACCAGAGGCTGAGTACAGACTTGTCTCATCTTAGGAAGGCCCAATCTTAGGGGCACGCCAACATTTCTTTAAGTTTTACCTACAGAATTCCCCATGACACAGTAAAGATCAGAGAAAAATCCCTTCATGCTTTGGACAAGAAAAGGGGAAAGAAACCATTCTGAAATATGCTCAGAGCATTCTGTTCTACTTAAGGCCTGCTCTCAAGAGAAACTACTTTGCCAGCGCATCCTCTGACCTAGGGGAAGAGTGATTAGACAATTGGAGCTTATCTAGCTTTCCCAACTCAAATAAGGAAAGGAAAAGAAAAAAAGGGGAAAAAAAGCTAAAAAACTCTTCTGAAGCTCCCAACCCAGGATTCTGACCCACTAAAAGAATGGAGATCTAATAATAACAGTACAGAACACTTACCCTCCCTGATACCTTACCGCTCCATCAACAGGGCTCCAGAATAATAACAATCACAAGTGAGAGAGCTCCAAGACACACACTCTAATTAACAAAGAGTTTCTAAGGAAAAGCAAAGACAACAGAATATTTAAAAAAAAAAAAAAGAACATAGCCATAGTAAATAATAAACACAGCCTAACTCCTAACGAGATAAAACCTCACATTAAAGGCCTATTAATCTCATTTGCTATTACTCAACATATTATTTTTGACTTTCAACAAAAAATTGCAAGCCATGCTAAAAGGCAAGAAAAAGCCTATGATTTTAGAGACAAACATTAGAACCAGATTCACATCTGGAGATTATCTGATAAAAAAAATTTTAAATAACTATGATTACTGTGCTTAGGGCTCTAATGGGAAAAGTTGGTAATACACAAGAACAAATGGTCATTGTAAGCACAGAGATAAAACTCTAAAAAAGAAAGCTAAAATAAAATGCTAAAAATCAAAACCATTGTAAAAAAAAATGAAGAATCAGAAATAATCAGCTTGAAGACATGTCAATATAAACTTCCTGAACTGAAATGCAAAAAAAGAATGAGAAAAATAGAACAGAACATCTAAGAACGGCGGGACAATTACAAAAGATATAACATGCATACAATGAGAACCCTAGAAGAAGAAAAAGATAAAGAAGCAGAAGAAATATTTGAAGGAATGATGGCTGAGAATTTTCCAAATTAATAACAGACACCAAACCACAGAAATCTCAGAAGACACCAGGCAGCATAAATATCAAAAAACTCCACCTAAACACATCATATGCAAACTGCAGAAAACCAAAGATAAGGAGAAAATCTTGGAAGAAGCCAGAGGGAAGAAAACACCTTACTTATACAGGAACAAGGTTAAGAATTATGTCAGACTTCCTTTCTGAAATCATGTAACCAAGAGGAAAGTGATGTGACATGCAGGCATACCTCATTTTATTATATTCCACTTTATTGTGCTATGCAAATGTTGTATTTTTCACAAACTGAAGATTTGTGGCAAATATGCATCAAGGAAATCTATCAGCGCCATTTTTCCAACAGCATGTGCTTACTTCATTTATCCATACTGGCATTTTTTAACAATAAAGTGTTTTTTAATTAAGGCATATATATGGTTTAGATCTACACATAATGCTATTGCACATTTAATGAACTACATTGTAAACGTAACTTTTATATGCACTGAGAAACCAAAAACTTTATGTGACTTGCTTTATTGCAATTTTAGCTTTATTGTGGTGATCTACAACCAAACCTGCAACATCTCCAAGATATGGTCATATATAAAGTGTTGAAAGAAAAAAGCCACAACCTAGAATTCTGTATCCAATGAACTTATTCTTCAAAAATAAAGATTAAGGGAATAGAAAGACAAGCCACAGACTGAAAAAAAAAAATTGTAAAACATATATCTGATAAAGGACTTGTTTCTAAAATATACAAACAACCCTTAAAATTCAAGATAACAAACAATCCAATTTTAAAATGAGTGAAGGATGTGAATAGGCATCTCAACAAAAAAGACAAATAAATGGCAAATAAGCATAGGAAAAAATGCTCAATACCATACATCACTAGGTAATTGCAAATTAAAATAATAAGATATCACTATATACCTATTAAAAAATCTAAAATCCAAAATGCTGACAATAAAAAATGCCGTGAAGGATGTGGAGCAACAAGAAGTCTCATTAATTGCTGGTGGGAATGAAAAATGATAAAACCATTTTGGAAGCTGGTTTGGCAATTTCTTACAAAGCTAAACATAGTCTTATCATACCATCCAGCAATCACACTCCATGGTATTTACCCAAACAACTTAAAAACTTATGTCCACACAAAAACCTACACATGAATGTTTATGGTAGCTTTATTAATAAATGCCAAAAAATGGAAGCAACTAAGATCTCCCTCAATAGGTATATGAATAAACAAATTGTAGTACAGTCATACCATGGAATATTACTGAACAATAAAAAGAAATGAGCTTCAATCCCTGAGAATTCAGGAAGAAAAGGGGAGAGACAAACAGGTGAAGCACAGTGGATTTTTAGGATAGTAAAACTATTCCGCATGACACTGTAACAGTGGACACATAAGTTTACCCATTTGTGAAAACCCATACAATTGTATAACACAAAGGATGAATCCCAGTGTAAACAATGAACTTTAGCTTATCATAATGGATCCATACTGGTTCATCAATTGTAATAAATATACCACTCTGACCAAAGATGTTAATAACACGGGAAACTATGGAAGGTAAAATATGTAAGAATTCTCTGTACAATTTTTCTGCAAATCTGGAACTGCTCTAAAACATAATCTATTTTTAAAATAATCATTATGAAACAGGAAGAACGTCATTACCCCATTCTGTAAAAAAAATTATGAATATCTATACAGAGAAAAAGAATGAAGGTTTTTATCAATGTGGTAGAATTATGGGTCACTTTTTTTTCCTTTGTGCTTTTCTAAATTTTCCACAATGAATACAATTTACACATAATGCTTTCAAAATTGAAAAAAAAAATAATTTTTAAGTATTCAGAAAATTAAATACTTTTGCAAAGCTCACTCCACATAGATTAGTAAGTAACGCCACTGAAAAAATATAAGCTTGCTTACTTACCTTCAGGCATAACTGTCTGAGTCATCCGTGATCCAGCATTAGGAGCAATGGTGTTACAGTGAATGTTGCTTTTCCTGCCCTCTATTGCAAGAGTATTTGCAAGGCCCAGAAGACCCAACTTTGCCGCACTATAATTTGCCTGGCCAAAGTTGCCATATATTCCTGAAGCTGATGAAGTCATAATAATCCTAAAAAGAAAATCAATCTCTCAATATCATCTTTTCCATAGTTTGATAACATTGTAACTCTAACTCTGTTTTGGTACTACTGGACCCACCAAAAGCAACTATGTGTACTGTCATTAGCTTCTTACAATCATGATTCATGTATCTAAAATAATATTAATTTAAAAGTAACCTCTCAAAATTCAACTACAAGATTTAACTGTTTCAAAAAGATTCTCTGGCCAGAACCAAATGATCTTACACTTATGCTTAAATGTAAGAATGTGTGTATTCATTATCTATCAAAAACAATATATATTTACAACTATAAAATAACCTTGTAACATCTAAGTTAAAATGTTAGCAAGAAATATTGGATCAAACAGTTCTAATATTTCAGTCCTCATCACTTTGCCTCTCTCCCTTTATGAATAATATTAAATGCCTCATTAAAACAATGCCATCTCAAAATCTGACACAACCTTACCCACTCTACTTAGGTTAAGTAAAATAAATCGTATCATTTATTTTCAGAAACTGTCAGGACCAGGATAAACTAGAAATCTCCAACAAAAACAGGCATCACAAGCAATTTGCTTGTATTAGGTATATATGAACGCTAAAGTAACAGGAATGACCTCAACTCTAGAGTGCAACAGAGGACATATATTAAGAGTACTAGCACTGCCACAATGAGTTACTTATCTACAAGCAATCATGAGAGGCCCTACAGTTCTTAAACAGTTTATAAAAACTAACTCATGTCTGACTAGCACCAGCCAGCAGGAAATAGCCATTCATCTCTCCCCAGTTGGGAAGATATAAAATAACATTCGAGTTACAGAATAAGCTACAGCCGAATCCTCAATGTGTGCACTACTTTCTAAAATGCCAGAAATTAAGGCAGGAAGATCACTTGGGCCCAGGAGTTTGAGACCAGTCTGGGAAACAAAATGAGACTCCGTCTCTAACAAAAAATTAAATCATTAGTCAGGCATGATGGCACACACCTATAGTCACAGCTACTTGAGAGGTGGAAGTGGGAGAATTGCTTAAGCCCAGGAGATAAGGCTGCAGTGACATAAAGTGCATGCTCATGCCACTCTACCCCAGCCTGGGCAAGAATGAAACTATGTCTCAAAATAAAATAAAATAAAATAAATTGCCAGAGAACAGCAAGAAAATCTTTAATAATAAAAAGGGGTAAAAAGTAAATACAAATCTGTCCAGCTCAGCCAATCTGTGACTAAATAATACCAATTTAATGAGGGTATGTGCCAAAATAATCTGTTAAAAGCATGTATATATCTAAAGATGTTTTCCTCAATGTCAAAAATCATTTCACAACACTTCATATAATCTTTCCCTATACACAAGAAACCCCCACACAACATCTTCAATCCCCCTTGACAACCACATGCAATTCTACCTTCCATATTTCTGTTTCTTCATGTGATCCCATGCTGCCCTTGTCACTTGGAATGAGCCCCGCAAATGAACTCTGTGGATTATATCTAAAACAATAAATTATTTCTATTAAATATTTTATTAAATTTAGATAGGCATGTCTGAAAGTTAATAATAAGCAATGTATTTATACAAAGATGTTCATTTTATACCTAATGTATAAAATCACCTACTGTCCCACCCCAATGAGTATTTTGCCTTTGTTCCAGTTACGCTACTGATCAATAGTTCACACCCAGACTTACAACAGCTTTCCCCATAATTTATAAAATAATTGTAATGCCTATGCATATCTAAATACTATTACTTTATACCCATGTTATGTAAAAATGTGCTAATATAAATATCTAAGATTTTTACAAATATAATTGGCACTCAACACTAACATCAGTTAAAGCATAATAATAAATCACATCATTCATTAAGAAATACTTAGAAAATACTCACTAGTTCCCTATTGTTACCATTTGCAAACGAGTGCATAAAAGAGAGGCCTGTTTTCACAAATTTCCATCTAATGAACAGACTACTTATGAAACATTTAGATAGAAAACTCTAGATTTTAATTGTCAAGTTTTTAAGCATTCTTACTTTTCTTAAAACAAATATTTTCATGAGTATATTAGAAGAATGTAAGAGTGAAAAGAGGAACTTTAAAAAAAAAGACAGAAAGGTAGTCAGGAGTAGTGGGCTTGGTAGGTGAAATCAGAGAAGGAAATACCTCAGTCCCATCACAGCACCAAGAAAAGCACCAACATAAGCTCCCTTGCCAGCAAAGCCTATCTTTCTCAGCTTGTTTTCTACCCCAGTTGTTGTAAGAGAAGCAAAAACTAAAAGCTCTTCTTAGTTTAATTCTAAATCAATGATATTAACTCTTCTTCCAAAAGATGGTAAGGCAATATTCCCCAGAAACCCACTCTATAAACAATGATACCATTGTTTCACCTCAGTTGTCATGCCTCAGCCACCACTGTTCATTTTAGTTCTGATGGCCAATGAAAGTAAGGACAAAGAAGAGCAAAATTAAAAAAAGAACTATTCTTAACTGTGATTTATTCATTATCTAAACTCAATCTTGCCAATTCGGAAAGGATGGAAAACTTTCCTATTACTAGAAGCTTCAAAATTACATCCAGGTTTTGTCCTACCCTGTTCTAAGATCTCCATCATTTTTAGTGCCCTTCCTTGCATATCCTGCTCTTGCTCTTGAAAAAGATTCACACAACTGGATAAGCACGTTAAAGGCTGTTAGAGTTAATACTGCTAGAAAATGCTGACCACCTCTTAAGGAGAAAAAGGAGGGAGAGGGAAACCTGAAGAAATAAAATCCTTTTAGATAACTTCTGCAAAATGATTTACATTTTTTAAACGTATTAAATGTTTTTTAAAAGAGGCTACTTCTAACTATTCATCATTTACAGTATACAGTTTATTCATCATTTATATTAGCAGCAAAAGTAGGTAGAAGCAGATTTTTCCATAAATGCATAAATTTATCAAATATTTAAAAGGCTAAATGGATAAGTATGTTCCACAGAGACATATTAAAAACAACTTACCCCAGTCTTCATCACTTATCCTAGCAAAGGAACGATCCCTCAGAATTCTAAAAAAAATCGATGTTGTATAGGGTAAGAAGGGAGATAGTATACACTTTAAAAAAATATTATATGCACATCACTAAAAATGAAAAAAAGAAATACTCACCCAGCATTGTTGACCACAACATCTACAATATAGAAAGATGAAAGTCACATATAAAAGCAAGCCTATTCATTTCCATTTGCTTACAACTCACATTTCTCTCAAAACTGTTTTTTAAACCATGAAAAAGTAGATATAATAGGTAAAGAGTACTATCAAAAGTTTATATCTATATCAAAAAAAAAGGACTCACAAAAGCCTAAGTATCACATTATATCGAGCACCTTCCTCTCAAACTAATATCTGTAAATTTTCCTACCTCTCTATCAAAATTCTACCCAATTATTTATAGAATTAGCTGTAGTATAACTCTTAGGTTCTGAGGATTCAGAACCATAAGCCATTCTACACTTAACCTCAAAATTCACTTCACAAGTTAAAGTTGGAATTTTCCTTGCTACTCAAAAGTACAAAGTCCAAAAAGAAAAACATTAGAGTTACAAACTGATGCTTTATCTTGATACATAATTATTTTCTCACTATGAAAGAAAATTAGTTTTTAAGGTTCAGCCTTCTTGTGGCTATTTTCACTCTCTGATTTCACATTTTTATGTTCTCTATCCCTGTCAGATGACATGTGAACATGGTTCTTATTAGTTCAATCTAACATAATTAGAAAAATAAATATGCTAGACCAAACAAAAAAGGGGAGCGCACATTCAATTAACAATAGGCAATGTTTTTCAGATTGTAAACATGCTTGGCTTATCTTCTGTGATGTCTCCACCCAGTAATCCAGTAACTTTTATTAAGAGTGTGTGGGACTAAACTGGAAAGATTAGCTAGAGAAATAACAGACTAAACAATTAATTTGAAATACTTCTTAAAAATTAAGATTTTTATTATAGAGAAATCATCTTAAGTAATCTGCAAGACATTGGATCATCTTAATCCAAATCATTATAAGTATCCAAAAGAATCCACTAGAGGACGGGCGCGGTGGCTCAAGCCTGTAATCCCAGCACTTTGGGAGGCAGAGGCAGGTGGATCACGAGGTCAAGAGATCGAGACCATCCTGGTCAACATGGTGAAACCCCATCTCTACTAAAAATACAAAAAATTAGCTGGGCATGGTGGCGTGTGCCTGTAATCCCAGCTGCTCAGGAGGCTGAGGCAGGAGAATTGCCTGAACCCAGGAGGTGGAGGTTGCGATGAGCCGAGATCGCGCCATTGCACTCCAGTCTGGGTAACAAGAGTGAAACTCCGCCTCAAGAAAAAAAAAAAAAATCCACCACTGGGTCCTCTGTTGCCAAAATACTGGTTTACTTTTTATCTTGTAAACACCTTTGAGGTTTAACTGAATTATTTTAAAAAGGGCACTGAGCAAACACGTGTAAGTTTTTTTAAGCACTTAAGGTGCGGAAAAACAAATTCCATACATATATCCATAAAATTGCCACTCAATTAAGCCCTTTATGAAACAAGTAAAATAATTAACTAATAAATAAAATTTGTAAATCTGATTATGAAGAAAGAGATATCTGTTTAGTAAATAAAAGTAAACAAAAATATTTTATTAGGAAGGTAGAAGTTGCTCCATCAGGGCCGTAACGCACAGAAACATCACCTATTCTTCCAAACGCATCCAGTGCTGTCTTCACAACCTTCTCTCCTTCTTCCACTGAATCTGAGGAAAAGGAAAATTTGTATGAAATTTCAGCCATCTCCCTTCCAAATGACTTCTAAATTCTGTGAGTCAGAGTACACAACAGATCCTATTCACCCTACAGAAATTACAAGAGATATCCATATCTGTAATAACTAATTATATCATATGCTCACTAATAAAATGTTAAACAGAACAAAGGCTAGAATCATGAAACAGTCTACATTGAAAGTTTAAAAAATTCTCACAAATATAAAATATGTAGTCAGAGAACTTTGGCAGACTTAGAAAATCATAATTATACTGGAATGCTGAGATATTTGCTCAAAGATTACTAACGTGACAAACAGCATTAGTTGAAGGAAAATAAATAGTATAGTTCTCTCAAATACCATACCATACCATAGTTAGCCACTGCTTTTCCACCTTTCCTTCTTATTTCTTCAACAACCTTATCAGCAGCCAAGGAGCCTTTACCAACTCCTTTGAAGTCCCCTCCCAAATCATTCACTGTAATACAAAAACAAGCAAACAAAGCAAATAACAATTAAATTCTAGACTTCAAAATGTGTGTATGTGTATGTGTGTATGTGTATGTGTGTGTATGTGTCTGGGTATGTGTGTGTATGTGTCTGTGTGTGTGTTGAAAATGAATTTCTAATTACTAGCACATCCCTTCAGTAGTCTGCCCAATTCCTTCCTACCCTACCCCATTGTTACTAAACACACCACATGCATTTTCAAAATATGCCTCTTCATTTTTTAATACAAACATAAATAAACAGCAAAAATAGGTTCTCCTCATGAAAATTTTAACTATGTAGTGTTTTTCCTCTTTTGAAAATTAAAAAACACTGGGCATACTGGCCTACACCTGTAATCTCAGTACTTTGGGAGGCTAAGGTGGAAGGACTGCTTGAGCTCAAGAGTCCAAGATCATCCTCGGCAACATAGCTAAATCTCATCTCTACTAAAAAGCAAAACAAAACACAAGTTGGGCATAATGGCATGTATCTGCAGTCCCAGATACTCGGGAGGCTGAGGTGGGAGGACTGCTTGAACCTGGGAAATCAAGGCTGCAGTGAGCTATGATCATGCCACTGCACTCCAGCCTGGGCAACAGAGCAAGACCCTGTCCAGAAAAAAAAAGAAGAGGTGGGAAGAAAAGTTAAAAAAAAAAACACTAGGGGAGGGACAGCATTAGGAGAGATACCTAATGTAGACGACAGGGTAATGGATGCAGCCAACCACCATGGCACATGTTTAACTATGTAACAAACCGGCATGTTCTGCCCATGTACCCCAGAACTTAAAGTACAATGAAGAAAAAACATGATTTAACCCATTTTTCAGGAAAAAAAGAAAGAAAAGAAAAATGTGAAAATCATTTTAAGATTAAATACACAGGAAAAAAAACTACTATAAGATCGAGCAATCCCACTTCTAGGTTTTTATCCAAAAGAACTGAAACACTAGTCATATTTATAATAGCTAAGATGTGGAAACGACCTAAATGTCCGTGTATGGATGAATGAACAAAGAAAATGGGGTATATACATGCAATGGAATATTATTCTACATTTATAAAGAAGAAAACCTGCAATATGTGATAGTCTAAATAAACTCTGAAGACACTATGTGAAATGAAATAAGTGAGTCACAAAAGGACAAATACTGCATGAGTCCACTTATGTGGGATATCTAAAATATCAAAACACATTGAATCAGAAAATACAATAGTGGTTGCCAGGAACTACAGAGAAGCTGGAAATGGAGAGTTGCTAACCAATTAATAGAAAGTTTCAATTATGCAAGACAGATAAGTTCTAGAGATCTGCTATACAACATAATACCTTACCAATACTACATTGTACATTTAAAACCTTGTTAGAAGAATAGATCTCGTAAGTATTCTTATTACCACGATAAAAAAGTTTTTAAAAATTAAGCACACAATGTTGAAATAACTTCTTCATGATAAGAAAGCCTTTATGTCTAAGAATGGTTATTTTAAAACAAGCATGAGCTTAAAATATTAGACAGAAAATCATATTTTCAGTTTTTACAACACACACAGTGTCTAGAATAAAAGAAATAAAAAACATTTATTAAAAGAGGTCAAAAATTACATTCAGAACCAATATATATTTGGTATCTAATTTATACCATAACTCCATGTTCATATGTTTAACAACTGATCAAACTTACCATATAACATCTCCCTATATCCAATTATGTATTTACCAACATTAATTAAGAATTTACTATTTGCAAGAAAATCTACAGAGGGACACACAAATGAGTAAGAATGGTGCTTGCCCTCAAAGAATTTATAATCTATTGAAAGTTAAATATGTGGTGGCCACAGTAATATACAGATTTTAGCATAAAGTATATATCCAAGCCAATACAACCAAATAGACACAAATAACAAAGTTAATTTACACAATAATTTGTGAAAAAATTTACAAAATAACATGCAAAAGCAAATAAAAAGATACATAGCTAAATGCCAAATAACTTGGAAAAACATAACTTAAGAGAATTGCTTGAAATGAAGAATTTGCATTATGAAATGATCTTCTCCATAGGGTTATTGTATAGATTTTGAAAACTATAACAAGTTACTAATTAATAAATAGCATAATGGTATATATGAAAATATAGTTATGATTAACACAATTTTTAAAACACCATTTTTTTTCTTCTGAAAAATTGCTCTTTTTAAAATTGTGATGAAGGCTGAAAGTGGAATTGGATAAATAGGTAACGGGGTGATACAGAGGAAAAGGCAATGCCTAAAATCAGCTAAGGCACATATATTTTCACTTAACTTTTTAAAAACAGGAAATGAGTTTTTTTAAATGTGAACTGAGATTTTTTTCTGACCGTATAAGTCTTACTGCAAATAAAAATCCTACAAAGACACAAAATAATAGAAAGAGGCTTGTATTACACCTCAAGAGATAGAAAAAGTGTTATGATTCTCAAAAGACTGAATTCTTATTAATTGTACATTTAAATGCAATTATTCAAATGACAGGAAACAACCAATTAAAAAATACCAAGATTTTTAAGTTAGCTAACAATCTCTCATGACTCTTTTTAAGCAGAGGAAAGTTCAAAAGCAAATTAGAAAATATGATACTTAAGTGAAGAGAGAATTGTTTGTGCAATGAAACACTACCCCCAAGTGGAAATTTTACAAAGCGCAACAGAGAAGGCAAGCATTGAAAGCTGGACAAATAATTTATTGAGATCAATGATAGGCAGTTAAATAATATTGGGGTAAATTTATCTAAAACAAATCTCTACATTAGAGACCACTAAATTGACACTGACCCATTCAGCCATCCCACTATCACCAGAGCGAAATCACAGAGATTAAAACCTTAACTAGAATTCTAAATACTGGTTAAATGTCATCAAGATGGCCAACTAGAGGTGCCCAATGCTTGTCTCCACTGCAAAGAAGGACCAAAACAACAAATAACAGCACTTCATGTAGAATGTCCAAGGGAGAACATAAAAATTCAGCAAGGAAGTGACAAAAACCCTCTGAGGCACAGAATCTCTGCATGGCAGCTTAGAGGAGGAAGTGAAGCATCCAGCTGGAATCAGCTCAGAGCTGATATGGACTTCCCATTGTGAGTAGAAGGTTAAGTGGGAGACACCTAAGAGTCACCATTACCATCACAAATACCTATAATCTTAGCTACTGAAGAGTTCCACAGTTCACAGACCCTGGGGCTCAGTACAGGGACCTGCCTGGAGTATACACAGCTGAATTCTCCTGAAAAGGAAGGAACACATGCTGAGTCCTCCTATCCCATGAGACCCAAGCAGTTACAATACAACACCATTTGGGGAATGGAACCACTGCTGGTGTGTATCCTGACCCAGAGGCCAATAGCCCAGACATCTCCACATACTAGGGGTGCCATCTGCCATTATCCCACCGTGTCCACACAGGAGACTGCAGGATCATGACCTCAGCTAGTTTCAGTGATACCACTATGACCTCAGCACCTAAGTCCATGCAGCACCCCACACTCCAAAAAAAAAAAAAAACAAGACATTCAAGTACAGTGGGGAAGCTCTCACTGGAAAGGGAAAGGCTGACATACACATTCCCCAGGGACCAAGAATTAGCCTCGCCAGCATCTGTCACCTCAAGCAACCATGATCTATCTAGCAGTAGAGCAACTATGTGCCACTTGTCACCCACCAGGGACTGAGGACTAACCCATCTGGCAATCCCTGTCCCCAGAAAAACTGTGCCACTGTCTCCAGAAACACCAAAGTCAAGACCACTGAGGCACATGCAGACATTGCTGATGTGCTAATATTGATTACAGCCAAAGAAATCACAAGGCAATTACACTTCTGTGCCCAACCAGAAGCTAAACCAAACACCCAACCCAAATGATTTACAGAGAAAAAAGTCTTTCCCTACAAAAGTTACTGCATGAAAGTGAAAGATGCAACTCTTCTACCAGACACACAAATACCAATGTAGGAACAAAAGAATATGGGAAAACAGGCCAGGTGTGGTGGCTCACACCTGCAATCCCAGTACCTTGGGAGGCCAAGGCAGGTGGATCACTTGTGGTCAGGATTTCGTGACCAGCCTGGCCAACACGATGAAACCACATCTCTACTAAAAATAACAAAACTTAGCCAGGCATGGTGGTGGGCATCTTAGTATTGGTAGTTCCAGTACTAAGGAGGCTGAGGCTGGAGAATTGCTTGAACTGGGAGGCAGAGGTTGCAGTGAGCCAAGATTGTGCCACTGTACTCCTGCCTGGGCGACAGAGTGAGACCCTGTCTCTAAGTGAGTGAGTGAATGAATGAATGAATGAATGAGTGAATGAATAAATATAAAAAGATACTTCTCTTTAAACAATTATTTTAAGTAAAAAAAAAAGAAACATGAAAAAACAAGGAAACATGACACCTCCAAAGAAACACAACTCTCCAGTAACAAACCTAAATAGAAGAAAAATCTATGAAATGCCTGAAAAGGAATTCAAATGATAATCTTAAGGAAATCTAGTGAGATACAAGAAAATGTAGATAGATAATACAAGAAAATCAGAAAAACAATTAATGATCTATGAGACATTCAACAAGATATATATATATCATTGAATGATATATATTTTATGTATATATATATATATATATAATTTTTAAAAAGAGCTTAAGAATTCAATGAATAAAGTGTAATGATAGGGTGTTCACACTCGTGTTAAGACATGGCCCCCTCAAACTTTGCCATTAAATAAACACATTACCCACCTGATAAGGGAACAAAAAAGAATTCAATGAATGAAATTTAAAAATATAACTGAAAACTTCAACAACAGACTACATCAAGTAAAAGAAAGAATTTGTAAACTCAAAGACAGTTCTTTTGAAATAACCCAGTCAGACGAAAAAAAGGCAAGAAAAGAAGAAAACATTAAAAAGAATAAAGAAAGCCTATGGTAAACACAACATTAACTAAA